TTCTCCCCCAGTTCTTCTGTTCAGTAATATCAAATGACTGTGAGGACATCTGATATTTCCAGAGAGAGTGTTTTCTTGTTGAGAGAAAAAAAAAATCTTTTTGGAAACAGGAAACCATTTTTAGTTGACCACATTTAGAGTCCCGAAACTAAAATGTTTGGAAAGTTTTCTTTTATTACTTTTTGATGTTAGCATGATGCAGGCTCCCATACCTAGTCTGGAAGTCTTCACTGAAGTCACTCATTTTGAAAGCATTGCTTAATAATATTTTTCAGAATGTAGCCTGGTGTGTGTGTGTGTGTGTGTGTGTGTGTGTGTGTGTGTGTGTGTGTGTGACAATAATTCTCTCTATCCATGTATTGAGTCTGTCTATGAATGTCCTTCTGTAAAGTGAACCATGGATGCAAAAGACTAGAGCTACAAACTACATATAAGTAAAACTACAGTAGTAATGCACAATGGCATATAAGATGAGGGAAATTATGCTGACACGTCTGAAAAAACTTCTTTTATTAAAGGATTTTAATTAGCACACTAGGGTAGTTCATTGCTTTTAGTTTGTCAACTTGATACAAGGCAGAATCATCTGGAAAGAAGGAACTTCTACTGAAGAATCACTTCTCTCAGACTAGCCAGTAGGCAAGTCTGTGGGGGCATTTTTTAATTAATGATTGATGTGAGAGCACCAAGACCACTGTGGGCCATCCTACCCCTGGTCAGGCAATCCTGGATTGTGTAAGAAAGCAGGCTGAGCAAGCCATAGAGAGCAAACCAGTAAGCAGCATTTCTCCATATCCTCTGCTTCTATTCTTGCCTCCAGGTTCCTGCCTTGAGTTCCTACCCTGAATTCCCTTCATGATGGACTGTAAGCTGTAGGTTAATATAAACCCTTTCCATCCCCCTGTTGCTTATGGTTGTTTATCATAGCATTATAGGATATAATAGTATTAAAGGTTTCATTATAGGATTTTCTTTTTTCTTTTCTTTTTTTTTTTTTTCTGGAGCTGAGGACCGAATCCAGGGCCTTGTGCTTGCTAGGCAAGTGCTCTACCACTGATCTAAAATCCCCAGCCCCTCATTATAGGATTTTCAAACAAAATTCATTACATTGATGCTCCTCTCCCATCTTGTTTGCCCTTCCTTTGCCCCTTCTTATACCTGTCCAACAACTCTTACCCTGAAAAAAATGTTTTAAAGATTTTTGGATCTTTATGCTTGGTTTAATGCATGAAAATTACATTCACAAATAATAAAAAATTAGAAAATGATGACTATGACAACATAAATTCAAGTTTTCTTCCACACTAAATCTAGACAATTGATGACAAACACTAACCCGAGTAATGGATGTCTAAGTCACAGACTCTATAGACATCCTACCGAAGTATACTCAAGGTCCCTCACCCCTCAATATTCACATTCTCAAGCAAAACAGAGAGAAGTTAGTGAATTGCCTTTCACAATTTTTGCATGCAGTGGTCAGGACTCACAGGAAAAGCTGAAATCAAAGCTAAATGCTCATTGCTTTTGAAAGTCCATTTTTTTTCCCAGGCAGTGGTGGCCCACACCTTTAATCCCAGCACTGGGGGGGCAGAAGCAGGTGGATTTCTGAGTTGAAGGCCAGTCTGGTCTGCTGAATGAATTCCAGGACAGCCATGTGACACAGAGAAATGTCTCAAAAGAAAAAAAGAAAGAAAGAAAGAAAGAAAGGAGAGAAAAGAAAAGAAAAAAGAGTACATTTTTATGCTTTCTAGGATCATTCTGATTTTTTTTTTTCACAATCAGTTTGAGGTTCTAAGGGAAAACCAAGTATGTATCTGCATTTCTTCTCTCTATGGTTCATACGAAGAATAGTTCCCACCTACTCTGGCCAGTTGAGTTTGTTTCTGCCTAAGAGACAACGGGAGCATGCACCAGACACTAAGACCTTCAGCATCCCAGCATCAATGGTGCTCAGGAGAGCCTGCCTGAGGGAACGTGAAGCTAAAGAGTGCAATCTGTTCTGAGGCTGTGAAGCACATCCTGCCATTACACAAGTCAAACTCTCAGTACTACAGGAAGCTCTGACATGAGGGTTATTTGGAAAACTTCTCAGAGTCACGCTTTTTCCCCACTAAATTCCCTATCATAGAGGTCCTATCTCTAGCATTCTCTGTGGCGTCCACAGTGAGAAAGACATTGCCTTGTCTTATGAATGACTAGAGAAAGTAAGAAATATTAGAAACCAGGGCGATTACCCTGACCATTCCAGCTTCATGGGAACGAAGGGTCAACAGGCATTGTGAAGGTTATCAGAAACTTCTCTACAGGGATATGGGTGTGGCTGGAGTTGCATAGTCAGTGAGAGTGGAGGGGCATCTGGAAAGCAAAGGAAAGAAAACTTTTGCATCTTTTGCCAAGTGCAATTGCTAGTGAAAATATAAACCCCAATTCACAACTCCCAGCCCTCTGCTGTATCAGGAAGTTTGTAAGGAATAAATGGGGAACTGAAGATACACGGTTGTACACACAGGAAAGATAGATCATGGTTTATCAATCATTTTGGTGAATGTAGCTTACTGCCTTTTGTGGCATCACCTTGAGCTCAGCGTAGCTACTATACTGCATCCTTTGTGGCTGAGTTTCAAAGACCTAGAATTTTAGTTTTCAGCTTGTAGGGTTAGAGGTGTGAACTGACCCCCATGAATTCAATCCACACAAGTGTGGGTTATCCCAGACTCAGAAATTGAACCACTGGAGAATTTTTAAGCACTACTACTGAATGCTCAATAAATTGCACTGGACTAATTACAAAGGGGGAATGTCTAAACCAAATCAAGAGTTTCCATTTCATAATGTTTTTGTGAAGGATTCCCTTGGCAGCAAACTCTGCTGGTGTTCACTTTTTCCAAGTTACGAGAGCCACCTCCATTCAGAAAAGGCCCATCTACTTAGAGGTTGTTTTAGTCATAGTACAATAAAATTCAAGTCAGGATTAGTTGGTGTTCACTGGGTGCTCTAGCTGGTGTGACTTCCTTTTTAAAGGCCAGGATTCTCCTCGAATAAAGTTAGAAGGAAAGCAAGTGCGGCCAGACAAACTGACAAGGTCACCAAACACTTGTGGCCAGGTGTAATGGGATCTTCATCTTGGATCACTGCTTACCGACAGGCTTAGACTGTCTGCTGAAAATTACAGCCTCAGAGTTTCCTTGGTTTGTGCTAGAGACATCTCTTCCAAGTCCAGTGTTCTCGCTGCCAACTTAACCGCCTAAGCTCTTTATCCTGAGTAACTATTTTTCAGCAATCTACCCAGTGCCTTTACATTTTAAAAAAGTGAGCTTATGATACTGGGGGCTGCATAGTCACTAGAAGTAAAGCGTAGAAAAATAAGATCAGATAAAATGAAATTGCTAAATATAAAACCTCAAGAGATCGTGTTTAATTTCCCCCAAGCTAGTCAAAGAAGGTCCTGGTCTCAGCCTCCACATGCTGAAATGATTTTCCTATTAGGACACTATCTTTTTTTAAACATTGATTGTGGCAAAATCCTGTGTTATTTTGTTTTGTTTTGTTTTAGTTAATGAAAATTTAGAAGACATAGAGAGACTGAAAACAGGAAATGGAAGTCTCCACAATCTTATATTCTTCAGCAGTTTCGTGGATACATTTATATTTCCTTTTTTAAAAAAAATCTATATTCTCCCCATGAGTCTATGTTTTTCCTATAGTTGTCTACTAAGACAATCCTAAGAGAGCATGCCTTCGATTTTCCAATTATTACATTATTTTATCCTCACCTATAGTGTGTGAATCAAGAACTATATTTCACTAATGAAGAAACTGAAGTCGAGGATTGATAGTCCCAGCCAGATCTGTCTGACTTTAATGATCATTTTAATGTCTACTGTCAATACTGTAATGAAGGTCTCAACTGTAAAATGATTGAGGATCAATTCCCTACAGGGATATCAACTGTCTATTCATCTATTTGTTTATTGAGAGACATGATTCATATGGTCTCAGATTTATTGTGTAGCTAAGGATGAGTTTGATCCCCGGGCCTCTGCTTGCCTAGAGCTGGGATTACAAATGTGTTCTACCATATCATGCAGCTGCAGATCAAACCCAGAGTCTTGCTTACACATACTAGGTAATTATCTACCAACTGAGTTACATCCCCAGACTCCAATTTTAGGAGACAGAGTGTTGCTATGAGCAGTCCAGGCTAACCTAAAATTTCCTGTATAGTCCAGGTTGGCCTCATGCTTGCTATCCTCCTGCTTCAGTCTTCCAAGTGCTGGAATTATAGGCATGCCTTGTTTAATAACCATATTTTAAAGAGGAAAAACAAAATCCGAATATCTATATATCACAAAGTCACTTCATCATAAACCTATGGCTGAATTCAGTAAAGTAAGAAACCAGGCCACTGCAACTTAGATGCTATTCCAGTCAAATGTCACCATTATGGACATCTGGCAGCCCTGACTGGGCACATGCATTCATTGCTTGTGTGTGCAGAAGTAAACAGATGTGCAGACACTGCAAAACTCGGAGAAACTTGTCCCAAACTTTACACTCAAATTCTCGGGGGAAATATTGTCACTGGAGTTATATGAAGCTCTTAGAAGAGATCAGAGAGTTTCAATAGTTTTGTTAAACACATGGGCAAGAAATGAGAAACAGACTGTAATTCAGATGCATTTATGATAATTTAAAATGGGCTGGAATCCTTGTCTACAAGTTTTCCTGGCTACAGCATTATGATGGACAGCTTAGCTTGGGGAGAAGACCTCACCTGTTTCAGCCACTCGTTTTTTTTGCTGTTTGTTTTGTCTTTGTTCGCCTGGAAAGTTGAGGTGAATACAGATCTGTCGACTGCTGTGAGGGACAATGACCGGATGGCAAGAATTCAGGACTGTACCTGCCTCATAGTTTGCAGTTAGCAGATATTAGTCATTTACACATATGATGGATGAATTACAGAAATCTGCAACTTGTGGGTTTATTTTTTCTTTGTGTTAGGTTTTACATATTTTTTCACCTTGCTATACGTAATTTAAATTTTTTAAAACTCTTAAAGCATAATTAATTTAAAAACATGGCTCTTAGATTTTTTTCATCCACTCTTCCTTATCCCAGTGGTGCTTGGCCCCCTTGAATATTATGTATTCTCATTTTCTCCTTTTTCGTAAACTGCAGTACTTTCAGTTATGAATCATAATTGTACTGTTTACTAGCCTTGTGGCTTTGATATCAAAGTATCAAAACATATTATTTTTACTCTGTCATCTCGAGTGCTTTATCCAGAAAGCTGTAAATCACAGTGTTTAAAACTGTAGAACAAAACAAACAAAGAAAATCATTAGGGACAGAAGAAGAAGTAGAAGAAAAAAAGATCAAGTCATATGATCAGTAGAGAATCAGCAGATGGTTCCAAACCCCGATGTCCCTTAGTTGACCTGTGACCTTGGCCAAGTCACTTGTGAACTCAGTTCAGCTCTCTTGTGCATAAGGTTCACAGCATCTGTCCAGCCTTTCTCACTGGGTCTTGGGACACCAGACGTTCTATATGAAAGCCCTCTGTAAATTCTCTAGTTGGATAGCGTGAGAGCCTGTCCGTTTGATCCTTCACGTGGTGGGATCGGGTAACAAACTGCAGCTCTGTGAACTGCACCGTACCGAAGCGCACAGGCTTTCCCAGAGCTATTTCCTGAATTCCTTCCTGACCAGACACATCAGAGTCTGTGCTCTGGTGTCCAGAGAAGGAATCGAAATGAGAAGCGAGCCCACCACCTCCATGAACCATGGATAGAAAGGGTCCACCACGTGGGAGCAGCAGCCTGGCCATGCTTCGGTGTTGGTGTCAGAGGACCAGCAGGGGGCTGAGGCTGGGCTGCTGGGCTGCGCAGAGCCTTCCTGTGGAGGAGAAGAAGAGAGAGCCAGAGCTGGCAGGACAGACAGTGCAAAGAGGAATAACTGCCGGATGACGCGCTGTGTTAGCACATCACACTGGAAAGGAGAGCCACGGAAGAACTGGAAGCAAGGGGAAGATGTGGTAGAAACTCTGAACTCTGTCTTCCGACAAACCCAGTTCTAATCCAAATTGGCCTCTTTAGCCAATGTTTTCTTAGGCAACGCTTACTGGACACGCATGGCGCAGTGGAAAAAGTGTGAGCCTGGAGCCCAGGGAGGAACTGTGGAATGCGGGGCCCGTTTCTGGACCTGCCATTGGGCCAGCGTGGCAGGCAAAACCGTCTGTCCAGCCTGGCTCTCTCCCAGCACTTCTGGAACTCTTTGGGCCACATTTTTGCTTCGCTGAATTCTTGTCGATGCTCCTTCAGGTTAAGAGCACAAAAATAAATTGAAAGGTGTTTTCATCCAAAACTCTTCAAAGGGGTTTGAAATTGTCTTGTCTGCTCTTAATTCTTTCCCAAAGTCTAATTATTGCTCAATCTTCCTTGGCTGGTCATGTGGCTTCTCAGCTTTGAGTGTGCTGGACCAGAAGCACATGATTACATTTTAAGTAACCGTTTCCTGTCCATATTCCTCAATTGAAAGCCTCTTTTTTTTTTTTCCTTTTGGCTAACTACTTCCAATTCCTATTTCATGCTTTTTCACCCTAGGTAAGATCTTACTGTTTAAAAATCACTCCGGTCAAGCTTTAATGTAGAGAGCTTGAACATATTTTGTCTATCTCCTGAAATTTTCATGAAAGACATTTTAGGGCACTTCTTGACAAAAATTGTTGATTCTAAAGCTGTCAGTGAATTTCATATTGTTTTATTTCTCCAATAGTCCCTTATTAACAGTAATACTTTCCCTCCCCTTCCCGTCCTTTCCTTTTAAGTCAAGGAAAAAACCCTCCCCTCCAGTTTCTCAAAACGGTGAAGAGTTAAAGTACAATGGAGTTTTCACACATCCCTTGACATTGATCTCAGCTTCTGGGAAGTATCAGACACTTGTCATCGCTGAGACAACATGGTTTAAACCACACTTCAAACAATCTAACGCACACACGAAGGATGAAGCTGCTACCACTATGGAGCTAATAAACAGGGCTGTTGTTGGGTTTGTTTGGTTTTATTTTTTTATTTGTTTGTTTTTTATACTTTTTGCACTTTCTTCGATGCCCATCATCTTCTCTGAAGTAAATTGGTGCTTCCAGGAGATGTGTCTCATTGTCACGAAAAACCCTATGTTAACAAAACATTTTAAATGCTGTATTCTGTAGGCTTTCTAGTGTTTGAAAATCATCTATCTGTCTAAAATATACCTTTTTAACCTTGAAAACATACCTAATGTGACTACAGGTTTGATTATTATAGATTAACTGCTAACCTCATTTCTTAATTATACATTGCATTTTAAATGAGCTACTTAAGCACAGTACCCCAAGCAAGAGTAGAAACATATATACAGTATAATGAAAATAACTCTAAATTTGTGTCAATATACCAAAATCTATGCCAATGCAAAATATCTGAGATTAATGGTTGTCTTGTTATCCTGTATTCCTATATTCCCCTAAATGATAACAAACATCCACAAACCACCAAATAACCAAAGACCACACACCCCATCTCTTGGGAATGTGGGCATCATGTTCTCCAGACTGCTTCCTGTTGTCTGTGGGTGAAGGCATCTTTAGGGGTCCCTGAAAAAAAATGAGATAATTGCTAAGTCCTGGGAAGACCAGCAGTGACCTTTGTTGATATATATTGCCTGTCAAGATTCAGGAGGTCTTCCCCAATCAAACATGATCCATATTAACCTGGAAGGAATCCACAGTCTCCTGTGGGAACAAAAGCAAAAACCTCTTCTTCAAAGCATTTTCAACTTCCATTTTGAAGTTAAGGCATTCCTAAAATATCTAGGCTGGTGCTATGGGATGTTCTGTATGGCAAATATGTTGCTCTGACTGGTCAATAAATAAAACACTGATTGGCCAGTGGCTAGGCAGAAAATATAGGCAGGACAAGGAGGAGAATAAAGCTGGGAAGTGGAAGGCTGAGTCAGAGACACTGCCAGCCGCCACGATGACAAACAGCATGTGAAGATGCCAGTAAGCCACAAGCCACGTGGCAAGGTATAGATTTATAGAAATGGATTAATTTAAGATATAAGAACAGTTAGCAAGAAGCCTGCCACAGCCATACAGTTTGTAAGCAATATAAGTCTCTATGTTTACTTGGTTGGGTCTGAGCGGCTGTGGGACTGGCAGGTGAGAAAGAGATGTCCTGACTGTGGGCCAGGCAGGAAAACTCTAGCTACAGGCTAGTTTATTTTATCTCTCCCTCTTTCAGTCCTGTGTCTGTCAGGAGCTGTCTTTTGCTCATCAGTATTCAAAAAAATTCAAAACCAGCACAATAACATGCAGGATCCAGACTCCCATGTATTTTCCATTGTTATGTGGCCCTTTTTTTTTTCTGTTACTTTTACTCTCCCTTTAAAGACTTGACTTTCTTATTTTTAAACTATTTCTTTCTTTCTATGACTGTCTATACCTATATTCTTTCTTGCTTAAGTCTATGTACACTGAAACCTGCTTAGAATTTTTTTTTTCTGTCTGGATCTATCTTTACTGTGTATCTCTTAGAGTTTTTTGACCACATGAACGAACCTTAAACTACTAAGCTACAGCTGGGTCCTCCATGCAGCTTTATTGGCTGGCTCTGCTCCTCTCTCAGGTCGTGAAAGCCAAGCCTAAAGCTCATGGCCTGGTCAGAGGTACATTTGACCAGGAACTGCATTCAGCCCCCCCAACTCTGGAATGCCAGTGCCTTGCACTGTGGCAGGCATTTTTTACTTAGTTTTATGTTTCTATTTAGTGTGAAAAAGATTGCTCAAAGCCTCATTGTCTGGCAGAAACTCTTAAAGGAGCCGTATCCTTTTTGTTGTTGTTGTTGTTGTTGTTTGCTTTAGTTTTCTCAGGCCCTATTTGGAAATTCAGCCCCACATTGGTTGCCCAAGTGTTGTTGTTGTTATTGTTGTTTTCACTCTTTTGGGGACCCATCACTCAGCTCTCAAATAAATACAAGGAGGCTTATTCTTTCTTATGAATGCCTAGCCTTAGCTGGCATATTTCTAGCCAGCTTTTCTTAACTTAAATTATCCTATCTACCTTTTCCATCTGGGCTTTTACCTTTCTCTATTTCTGTACACTTTTCTTTACTTCTTACTCCATGGCTTGCTATGTAGCTGAGAGGCTGGCTCCTGGAGTCCTCCTCTCCTTCTCTTTTTGCTCCCTTGTCTTCTCTTCCCAGATTACTCCTCCTATTTATTCTCTCTGCCTGCCAGCCCCACCCATCCAGTCTCCTGGCTGGCTATTGAACATTCAGCTCTTTATTAGACCAATCAGATATTTTAGACAGGCAAAGTAACACAGCTTCAAAGAGTTAAACAAATTCAACATAAAAAAATGCAACACACCTTTGCATCATTAAACACATGTTCCACAGCATAAACAGATGAAGCACACCTTCAACTAATCTTCCACAACACAGGGCTGAGAAGATAGCTCTATGAAACAACTGTGGATAGGACACTTATGATGGCTAATCCTTGTGGCCAACCTGACTGATGTAAAATTCCTTAGGAGAAATACATCTTAGTGTGTTTCCAGAAAGATTTTCTTGAGGAAGGAGAATTCTTTCTGAGAAGTGGGTGGCAGCATCCCTTAGGCTGAGGTGCTGGACTGAATTAAAAAAGAAGGATAAAAACTAGAATATTACTATTCCTCCCCTCTCTGCTTCCAGATCTGCTAAGATGTGAGCAAATATCTGCTGCCATGAATGGGATCTGACCTTGTTCTCATGTGGTGAACTAGATCTCCTGAACCATGAGTAAAGTGAACCTTTCCTTAGGAAGTTATTTCTTGTCCGATATTTAGTCACCAACACAACAACAAAATAACAGTATAGTATGGCACTAGAGTGTGCTAGAGTGATATGGGCGTCATGAACAAGTAGAGTCAAGTGCAAAGTTTCTTTCTTATACTTACGTAGTATAAGTTGAGAAGAGTTTGCTTCTATGTACATTTTTATATGGTAGAAATGATGCAGACAATCTGTGCCATGAACAAATGTTGTCTATTGATAGAAAAATTTGAGACTCTTGGAAAACAAGTAAGAATGATATAAATGTCCTTAGTAACTTGAGTCTGTAAACCCTTATATAATCTGACTTTGAGAGTTCTATAGGAACCAGATAAAGTCTATGACATCATGAGGGAATCATGGTTATTCAAATTGTCTCTTGTTGCCCAGAATAAAATGCTGACAGAAATGCAGTGTCTGTGGCTGTTAGCTGCTCTGACAGCATGATAGAGAATCATTTAACTATGTACACACCCAGAGAATACAGAATGATGAACATACAGTTAAGAATATACACAGAAAGCCAGACAGTCTCTTGAGTAACTTTGAAACAGCCTGATTCTCTTTTCATCACACAGTAGATGTAGCCAATGAATTAGCTCAGGGGGGTGATTATAAGGATTGAACAACTATAACACTGATTAAAGGTTTGACCCATTCGAATTCTTCTACCAAGAAACAGTCATTATTAGGAAACTGTGCTATCCTGTCTCACTGGATGGGAGTATCTTAGAGCCATGGATGAAGCTACAAACAATGATTCTTGGAATTCTTTTAACTCTTCTTTGTCTCATTAATCAATAGTGATCTTTTTCAGACTCACACCCACAGGCTCCTGGGAGTTACAGCTCATAGTATCCTGGACACAAAAGAAGAAAGTAATTGTTAAGTCAACCCACTGGAGAAAAAAAATCTTGAAGTATGAAGATCTGGAATTGGGTAGTGGAATCAGCAGTTAGGACTCAAGTTACCCTATTGGTTATCTGTAGAAAGTATTTTAGAAGCTATATTTTGTGGAGCTTCATCATTTATTTCCATTCCTTTTTTTGCCATTACTCCCTTGTATGAGGATTAACTGTACTAGCTTCGGGCAGAAATGGGACTCAGCTGATCCTGCTCCACAGTGGAATGAGAGGTGATAGGACTGATATTTTTTGAACACAGGCACAGGCTTTCCAGTAGGTGAATGAACTGGAGGTAAAGAGTGTCTTTCTTAGGTTTTCTATTGTTATGATGAAATATCATGACCAAAAGCAAGCTGGGGAGGAAAGTGTTCATTTGGCTGACATTTCCATATTGTAGTCCATCGTTGAAGGAAGCCACAACAAGAACTCTAACAGGTACAGGAACCTGGAAGCAGGAGCTGATACAGAGGCCATGGAGGGGTGCTGCTTTCTGGCTTGCTCGGTCTGCTTTTTTTAATAGAAGCCAGGACCACCAGCCCAGGAATGGCCCCACCTATAATGGGCTGGGGCCTTCCTCAACAATCACTAATTAAGAAAACGCCTTACAGGCTTGCCTGCAGTCTGATCTTATGAAGGCATTTTCTCCATTGAGTCTCCCTCCTCGCAGATGACTTTAGCTTGTGTCAAGTTGACATCAAACTATTCAGCAAAAAAGGAGAAAGAGCTGATTCATCTGCACAACAAAAAACCCTCCATACCCATGACTTCCAAGGAGGACCCTAGCAGAAGCTAGAACATAGGGAAGAACAGCATCAAGGGGCTTATTCCTGCACTCCCTGACTTCCTCCTGTGAAGTTATCTGGGGCCGGCTCCCCCCCCCCCCCCCGCCCCCCCACCCCACCCCCCCACCCCACCCCCGCCATGGAGAATGTCTGCCTCTCCAGTTAGCCTCTGTTTTCACCTCTTTCCTCCCTTTACCTCTGGCATGGGGTGGGAGAGGAGAAAGGACTCTTTATTGCTGCTAGTGCTCTGGGTCCCTGTATTATTCTAGCAGTTTCCTAAATTCCATCTGCATCTTGGCCATTTGTCTCTTTGTAAATAAACCCTCCTTAAGTTCTCTGAAGTGCCTGGACCATCTGTTTCCCGTGAGGAAGGTCTCCCACTGACATTTAGATGACTGATAACAGACATGCCAAAACCAACTTTAGAACACTCAGAGGCAAACTTGGCAAGCTTCATGATTTTAAAAAAAAAAAAAAATATTTTTTTAAAGTTCACTAAGAATTTTCCTTTATTGTGTATCTTTTGTAGAAAAGATATCACTGGGTCATCTAAGAGAACATAGGTTTTGGCCTCCAGTCATTTATGAAATGGCCCCGTGCTACTGCTGACATTCCCATTAGCATTGCTAAATAGCCCAGCCATGGAAAAATGGAGGCTAGAGCAATACTTCAGAGGCGGAAACAGACCATGCCTTCAGCTGCTTCCATTTCCAAACTGTCTAACATTACACCTGTGCCAGTGGAGACAGCAATTTCTTGAAATCTTAAATTGGCCTAACTAAACCATCGCTTGATCAGTGAAGAACCATTTCCCATAATAATCTTTCAAGTCCTCCTTCTCCTCATCTTACATTCATATGCTTACCCTGAGTCAGCTTGACATTCTATAAATTGTATCCTTTTGAGAATTTTCAAATATGATGATGGTGGATTTTTACAGATCCACCTGATGACACTGTTTATTTTTTCTGGTGGCTGGTGACAAGTAATAAGAGCATGTAAATCACCAGCAATTAAATTTTCCGCCTAGTTACCCATCTACTTATGTGCTAATGAACTCTACCAACCTATGGAAACATAAACCCAGTAAGTAAAATCTATTAGGTTCTCTGGCTCTTACCTAAACACTGAAAACAAACTAAGCAAACACAAAAGAATTTTTTCGTGTGCCAGAATCCAGCATCATGAGGTAGCCAAGAGAGAGCGAGCATGACGTGCACGTTTCAGGTCTTGAGGGGTCCCTGTCTTGGCCATGCCCAGATTGGGGGCAGGTACCTAGAAGTTACCTGCTGCCTGCTAGGAGCAGTGCTTCAGGGGTGAATCATAGATAGCCACCCCTACATAATCCAATCCCAGTGACTTCAACACCCTCTTCTGGACTCCTTGGGCACAAGACATGCACATGATGCACAGACATACATGCAGAAAAACCACCCATATACATAGATACATGATTAAAACAAAAGAAATTTCTATTTGGGAGGTTAAAGGCATGAGTGGTGAGATTTATCCTGATTAAATCTTTTTGGGTCATTAACTATCTCACACTTAAACCAGCAAGTTCCCCTCTCTTATACCATGGCAAAATTTCCCACCTGGGCTTATGCCAATATCTCAAAACTTAAGAATTTTACAAGGAAAGCAAGCATTCCTTCTTCTTCTTCTTCTTCTTCTTCTTCTTCTTCTTCTTCTTCTTCTTCTTCTTCTTCTTCTTCTTCTCCTCCTCCTCCTCCTCCTCCTCCTCCTCCTCCTCCTTCTTCTTCTTCTTTTTTTTTTTTTTTTTTTAAAAAAAAAACAACTCTGTACACGTCACTGAAAGCAAGTGCAATGTTCTTTTAAAGGGAGGTCTCCTTGCGTCCACTGTAGTGCTTCACCATAGCCAATGATGTGAGTGATGGGGAGAGGGCAATGCACCGTGAGCATCCTACAGCGGGCTAATGTTAAAGGCGGGCCCTCTAGGTACAAAGTTTGCTTTCAGAAAGTCTGAGTCCAGTTCCCACATCACTGTTCACTTTCTCTGAATATCATTTTATTTTAAACTTAGGAGTATAAGCATGTACAGGGTTCTTAAAGGATCCAAAGAATAAGATTTTGTGCACAAATGACTAGTAAAAACAAGTATAGAATTCAGGTTCATTAATAAACTCTACTCCTCAGTATTTTTCTCATGCTTGGCTTTTTTGAAATAGCACGTTTTCTTACATTGTATCGTGTTGGAATTTTAATGAACTTGTATTGCCATGAATAGAGCACTATTTCATTGTAACATCAATCACAACAAGTTTGCTTTAATGAGAATAACCCATACACTGAACACTCATATACTCTAGGCCCTGAGTTGTCATCCTTAATTTGGATAGCCACCTGATGGATCTGGTAAATTTTCAGAGGCCTTTGTTTTATTATATTCGCAAGTCACTGTTTTATTATCTTGTGTGAAATACAGGAATCATTATTGAAGTAGTGAGAATCTGGCATAAGTTTCTTCTGCCCATCTTTGGAATCTGATGGAAAGTTTAGTTTGTGTTTCTCAGGGATTCATTTGCCTTCTATGCAGTTAGCTTGATATTTGCATTGCATTTCCATTATTCTATCTTTAGAAGAAAGGATTGTGCCTTGCATATTTATCTTCACATCTCTGACATAAGCAGGACAAGTTCCTTTTAGAGGAAGACTAGAGCCCAGGTTTAATGAATTGAGTTGACTGTCAGGAATACCATACTGCAGTTCTGCCCATTCTGCTAACTACCCGTGGTACAGTTGAATGACACCTCATGCCTCTGTGCCTCACTTTCTCTTTTTAAGAGATGGAACAGGTCTTAAATGCTGCCAAAATATAAGAGAGTTGTAGCCAGTAATTCCTCACACAGCATCCCCAGCACAACACTATTTGGAGTGTGTGGAATACATTGATATCCCAACAGATCAGTTTCCATCTGCTACTGACCATCTCCATCCTAGATGGTTTAGATTTCTGGTTTCCTCTGGCTCTTTGCATTAGCAAAGCTGCAGAACTGTTTTTGTTACAAGAGCATTGGTGACTATTCCCAGGTGGTGCCATCTCTACATGCTAACCCACTCTGAAGATGCTGCATTTCAAAACTTTTCTGTGTTTGAGCATGTGCATTACTTTGCAATGTTCCCAGAGGTCGGTAATGCTGACTCCCTTTCTGAAACTGTACCATTTCTTTAGCTGTTCATTCTGAGACAAAGCACACAGCCCCCTCCCCCACCATGTCCATGTTTTGCTGAGCTGATCTTTGGCAGGAGGGTATGACTATAAAGTCATAAAAACAGGGGAGTCCACAGAAAGCACCTAACCAGTCCCACCTGGAAAACGCTGCTCAGCCGGGGACAAGTTGCACTCACTGTTTGACCCAGCAGGCCTTCAATCCGGGGCCTAAATAAGGCTGCATTTGTCTCTCCCTGAGCCTGGAAGAAAGAGAACTTGTGATTGAGGAGGAGGGGAGAGAAGGGAGGAATGAGTTAAGCCCTCAGCATCTTAAGTTCTTTTTCTCACTTCTTTTTCAAATGAGCACACCACGTTGAATAGCATGTGGAAAATTGGCCTTTCCAGTGAATGAAAACGAACTGGCAGAGAACAAAAGGGATAACAGAGGAATGCTGCTGGATGCCCTTTGGCTTGGCTCGGCTTGTCAGAGAGGAACACATGACGATCCAGCGTTTTTTTAAGACGCGTTTTACCTACAGCTCTGCCTCCTGTTTAGATGCTGCTGATTGCCTGAAGACTTTGTTTATGCAGTGAGGTTCTTTAAGGGATGATTTTTTTTTTCTCGAAGTTAAGAATGAAAAGAAAGATGTTAAAAGTAGTATGGGAAAAACAACTGTTCAAGTGTTCCACTCCAGAAAGTTTGTTCACTTTGGGGCTTTTTTAAAGGGTGGAGGTGGGGGTAGATTTAAAAAGCCAGAAAACTGACAACGTTCTCTGTAGAGTTCTGCCTTTGAACTTGATTGCTGTTCTATTTTTTTTCAAAAGATGCTTATGTTTTTAAAGAAAACATCTTTTTGAGCGTTAGAATACTTTCACTTATGCCCAGTAGTTTTGTACAGCATACTGTATGTGCTTAAAGTATTTCCAATTAAAAGCTCACTTCATCCAATGTATTTAAAAATAATCATACTGATGTACGCATAATGCTGTGGAATGATGGATTTTAGAAAAGAATCAGTAGCTAACCTCATGCCTGTCTTGTTTCTTTGGAACAAAAATCCATGTAATACAAAATACAAGTTATATAGTCTCATTCAAATCAGTGTCCCTTCATGCACAGAATACATGCTTTCTTGGGCTAATTTTAACCTGTCTTGTTATCGAAGCAAATAGAGTCAAGAGGGGACATATGCTTAATAACTGATCAACTTTTTTGAAATCTACCTCTATAAAAGATTGTTTAAGCTTAGATTTTAGTGACAAGGATGCCAAATAACTCATATTGCACCTGCACATCATGACCTTTCCAATAGCTTCCAGGTCATGGGGTTTCCACTACTCTTAGGCTATTATTAAACTGTAGTGACTGGTCATATATTTTTGTGTTCAGCTTTCAAAACAATTGTACATTGACTTCACAGAGCTGTGTACAGTGAGGAAAAAATTACTTACGAATAGTACTGTTTAGTAGAGCCTGGTTAAATTTGTATCAAGTTATAGGCATCAGAAAGGAAAGAGCCTTGAGAATCATAAAGTAGTTAGCGGGTAGAGAAGTTCCTATTACTTTATACAGCTCCTTTATCTTATAGATGAGGAAACTTTGGTCCAAAGATAAGAGTAATTCCATAGCAAAGTGTGGGCCAATCTTGATCAAGATGCAGTTTTCCCAACTCTCAGACATTGTGCTCTGTGTTGGAAAAACATTTTATGAACAAGTGTGATTGCCCTGTTTCTTATTAGGTCCTTTGCATCTAGAACTCAAAAGGAGGAGGCCTCCAAGATCTGAGTTGAGAAGACCAGAGTAGATATCAAACCACTATTAGGGAACAGAGGCTGTGCTTGTTCTAGCCAGGAACACAATTGCTACAAACAATGAGACACTCTACCCCTTCCCCGAGTGATTATATCTTTTCGATGAGTTTTTGAAAAAAGTCTACATTCCTTTGCTGAAGGCAGATATTCCTACAGGAACAAAACAATAAAGAAAACTGCTTTTATTTATTTATTTTACTGAGGTCTCTTTCCTTTCCTATCCAACCTCTCTTTCTCATTATGGTGTGCATACATGCTAGCATACTTAAGAGTGTTTTTTTAATTATTTAGAACACGAGTCAAAAAAATTCAAAAGTTCCCATTACATCATACAAGCCAAGAATAATTTTTATGTTCTGAACTAGATTTATGACATGGCTGACTGTTCAGTTTGATTTTGGGTTTTTTTTTAGAAAAAAATATTTAGAAATTATGTATCACAACATAGTTAACAGACACCAAGAGGTTAATGGCTGTAGCAGCAGGTGATTAAGAAAGTTCCAGAAACTCCTTTGCATGCACTTCCAAATCACTTCTCATCTGAATCAGTCCAATGTGTTTAGCTTTCAGAGAGCAGTTTAAAGCCCTGCCAAGTTCAAGTTGGCATTCTAAGATAACACTGAATCTTTTTGACCAAGTTTCTTTTATTTTCTTTCTTTCCTTCTCTCTCTCTCTCTTTCTTTTTCTTTCTTTCTTTCTTTCTTTCTTTCTTCCTTTCTTTCTCTTATAGTTGCTCAGAAATTTTCAAAGTAAGGCAAAATAGTTACTTTAAAGTGGGAAAGAGCTTGCCTATAAGTTTTTGATGCATATTCTCAAAGACTAGTACTCCATTTTGAACACTCACATTTTACTCTATTTTGAACACTCACATTTTACTCTATTTTGAACACACATTTTACTCTATTTTGAACACTCACATTTTACTCCATTTTGAACACTCACATTTTACTCTATTTTGAACACTCACATTTTACTCTGTTTTGAACACTCACATTTTACTCTATTTTGAGCACTCACATTTTACTCTCTATTTTGAACACTCATATTTTACTCTCTTGAGTGCTCACAATAGACAAGCATCTCTGCAACGTGCTTCTGCTCCCAGTTTCTTGAGACCTGTTGGGTCACAGCAGTCCAACCGTGCACTACAGATTAGGGCAATACAACCCTCCAGGAAACTAATACTGAAAACATTATTGATAGTCACATTGTCCTAGGAGTTTACCTGCAAGATCACTGAAGACAAGAGCAAAATCCCTGCTTTCTCTTTGACTATTTCTGTCTTATTTTTTTTAATGGTCTTGTTCATAAGGTTAAGAGAAGTATGTTAAATACAGGAAATTATTTACCTTCTGCAAACATAAGTGCCAAATTGGGAACTCTTTGCATAAATATACCCTTTCCATAACATGCTATGTATCCTCCAGGAACCCCAAGGGCCAATTAGCTCTCTCCTTTCACTCTAAGCAGCGAGAAACCAGGTGGTATCTTCAGCACTCTCCCTGAAAATCTCCCTGCAGAGGCTACCAATTCACTGGCTGCATTTGGCACTTTCCATGTTAGAGTAGGCAAGGATGTTGCTAAGTTTGTGCAATTACATAACAAGGGTCCCTTTGTTCCAGAATCCAGTAACATTCCTTCCCTTTCCTTCAAGCTCTCCTGGCAGCCTCCTCGAAGGTGGCCAGGTTTCTGGTGAAAGTGTTCTTGAGAATCTGTGAGCTTTCATTAGCGCTCTGCATAGACCCTCTAGCTGTGTTCTATTATGCTGTCCCCAAAGGCACTGAGACATTTGAGACTGGTTATGAAAACACCCTCCTTCTAAGCTCAGAAACTTTGGAATGATTACACACTGTTGTTTAAGCAATCACCACAGAAACCTAATGACACAGAGGGCTAGAGAGATGGGCTTTGTGGGAAAACTGCCTGCTGAGCAAGCATGAGGACCTGGGTTTGAATGCTGCATACCCACATAAAAGCAGGCAGGGCAGAGTAAATCCATCAGTACCACAAGTGCTGAAGGAGATGGGGGGGGGGGGACACTGTGACTGAACCAACAAAGCCCCCTTTTGCAGGAAAAGCCCTGAAATCGAAACCAATGGTCTGAAATTGTGTTGTTCTTCATAATTTCTGTGTCAGAATTTTGGAGATGATTTCCTGGGGGGATCTGGTGTGAGGTCCTTCATAAGTGAGAGTTTGGCTAGGAAATTAGTGGTCCAAAGTGGTAATTGGGCCTAGAGCCTTTTCTTCTACTCTCCATGTGGCTCAGACACCTGCCAGGCAGGGCATGTTAGTTTTTGGAAGAAGGTCTCAGTTTGCCTCGTGGATTTTTCTTCAGGACAACCATTTTTCTGCTTGTCACTCAGAGCCCATAAGGAGGGCGACTGGAAACTTCTTTTGTGCTAAATAATCTTCTCAAGGGTGTTTGCGTAGCAAATGGCCTTGGTAGATAGGAATAGTCCCTTTCAGAGATACTCGCCCTGCAGAGCAAAGGGTAAGGTTTTTCATATATCTCTGATATAAAAAAGATAAAAAAAAAAAAAAACCCTAGATCAGTCCACCTACAGTCCTCTGTTGTAGCAATTGAGCTATCAAAGGGACTTAGATAAAGACTCCTTAAAGTGAAAGTAGACCCAGTTTACAGCCCATTGTAAAAAAACGGATTCCCTAAATTCGAAGTTCACCTCCTTGACACAAGCCACCCCACGGACAAGTTTCACTTAGCTTTCTTTGCTCAGGGCTGTAGGAAGAGTGGTCCAAGTAACTAGCAATTGCTTTTCCTCTGTTTTCTTTTGTCATCGTTTTCAGTAATAAATGTCTTTTATTACCATATAATCTCTGTCCTCTGCTGCTGTCCATGAAACCATGGCAAGCTAACAGGTTGTTCACAGTCCTTGACAGGCAGCTGACTGCCCCCAGAATGAGCGATCCAACAGGCCAAGGTGGAAGTTCCCTGAGATGACCTTTGGATTAGCCAAGTGTTACAAACCCTTATTCCCACAGTGTGGTGTTTCCTTGGCAGCCTTGATGCAGACCAAGAAGGGATGCCACAAAGCTGGGGACAGCAAAAAGGACCACTGGAGATCATCTCAAAACTGTCCATCACAGCTCCACAGATTGTAAAAGACTGAGGTTGGGGATATAACAGTGTCCTAGTTTGTGTTCTGTTTATAAACACTGTGACCAAAAGCAACCTGGAAAGGGAAGGGTTTATTTCACAGTACAGCTTACAGTCCATCATAAAAGGAAGTCAGGGCAGGAACTGAAGCAGAGGCCACAGAGGAGAGCTGCTCCCTGGCCTGCTCTCCATAGTTTGTTCATTCACCTTTCTTATATAATCAAGGATCACCTGATCAGGGGTGTCGATGCCCATCAGGGTCTGGGCCCTCCCATGTCAATCATGAACCAAGAAAATACTCCACAGACTTGCCTGCAGGCCAGTTTGATGGGGGCAATTCCTCCACTGAAGTTCCCTCTTTCCTGG